AATAAAGAATAAAGAGAAACAGGAACTCAATAGTGTGGATGCTTAAAGCATCCACACAATTAAAACCTCTCAGTAATTCTGGAGAAAGAAATGCACGACTGTTACAGGATTAGTTCAGCACTGACAATATTAAGAGCAAAAGCTTATTAACCTGCTTTTTTGTCACTTCTGTTTTGGCTCACAACAAAATCTGGAGACACAGGAAACTTGCTATTGCACCATCATGTGGATATTCATGGAAACTTTTTAGTAATAACAGAATAAAAGGAAAAGTTTTCTTTTTCAATTTCAATTCAATTTTATTTGTACAGCGCCAAATCACAGCAACAGTCGCCTCAAGGCCCTTTATATTGTAAGGTAGACCCTACAATAATGCATACAGAGAAAAACCCAACAATCATATGACCCCCTGTGAGCAAGCACTTTGGCGACAGTGGGAAGGAAAAACTCCCTTTTAACAGGAAGAAACCTCGGGCAGAACCAGGCTCAGGAGGGGGCGGGGCCATCTGCCGAGTTGTCCCTTCTCTATTCATTATTCTTACTCTCCATGTGTCTCTCCCAGCCTACATTGAGGACTTGGCTCGTAGCGTGGAGCAGAGCAGACGTCTGATCATCGTTTTAACGCCAGAGTTTGTCGCCAAAAGAGGCTGGAGCATCTTCCAGATAGAGACACGCCTCCACTCCATGCTTGTTACTGGGGAGATCAAGGTATGGATTCAGAGGTCAACGGTAAAAATCTAGAGGACAGACATTTTTCCAACTTGATTGCATTATTATTCTTAACAGTTTGAAAAAAGAAGGCAAGAAGACTTCTTTAGGTTTGTGAAGACCTTTGACCTCACAAGAGGTTTCTTTAGTTAAGGTGGAGAGTCCCAGGTATTTAAACGCTAGTTGTGGTTGTTGGCCTACTATTGATCATGTGAGTCATCAGATAAATTAAAGCCAAAAATAAGGATAAAACCACTGTGGGACTGTCCCACCCCATCATGTGACCTATTGAGGTCGTCTGAGTATGATTTGGGTGTTTAAGCATCTGGATCTCTAAACTTCATTGCAGGTGGCTGATAACTGAGAGACGACCTCTACTAGGGGTTAAATACTTGGAGCTGCCCACCTTTTGTTTTTAGAACTAAAGAAGCCGCTTGAATAAGAGGTGAAATATCTTTACAAATTTAAAGAAGTTCATTCACTTTCTGTGTTCAAGCTCTTACTACTACCATAACCTGGATTACTGAGAACCTACCCGGACATTGCATTATTACATATGGAGAGTTTTGTTGGCGAAGGTCTTCTGCTTAGAAATCTCTCCGTGTTCTAGGTGATCATGATAGAGTGTGCAGACCTGAAGAATGTCATCAACTACCAAGAGGTGGAGGCACTTAAACATACCATCAAGGTATACAGAAAGGGCGGATGAATGAAAGGATGGAGAGTTTATGGGGTGACCTGAAGAGTTATCACCGGCCAGAATGGCAAAATCTTTTTTTTTGTAATTTGTCTCCTTCTCTTCAGGTTTTATCCATCATCAAGTGGAGGGGTCCTAAGAGCAATGAGCTGTCATCTAAGTTTTGGAAACAGGTGGTCTACGATATGCCCGCTAAACGCAGAGAGACACTGTCCAGACGTCAGGTACACTGCGTCTTTTTTCATGTATTCTCGATATACTTTATCTTTCTACAGTGGTATAGCCTCCACTCTGGGACTGATTTATGACCTCTGAAAAGAAATGTCATAAAAAAAGCAAGTCTACAATACATGTGCGACTATAAGTGATAAAAACATTTTGGATAGCATGTGAATTTGTTCATGTGTCATTATAGAAACCCTTAAACTCAGACATCTTGAGCTATACCTATATTAATAATGTCCATTTCATGCATGGGAGCCAAAAAATTCTACTGAGATGTACTCTTTCCTTGGGCGCATTCAAACAGGCAGATGGCCTTTAAAATGTCTGCAAAACACAGGTAATGTATTAAAATTGGAATCACAGCAAAGCAAAATGTGTAGATGTTTACCATGCCTCAGGTTGTGTATGCCCTGATTAGCAAATAAATGTTTCCTGCTGCTTTCCTTCCTGAAGAATGATGCTACACAGAGAATATTAACAACAACCGCAACAGCGTGGTGATATCATTCTAATGTCTTCTTCTACTCTAATAATTGATGTCATGGAATCTAGATGGTGTTTAAGTGTGTAAAGGTGTGTCAAATTATTTTATGCACCAGGGCTTAGATTATGCTACATAGGTGGAAACTCTGAATAAAGTTGTTGAATGATTGTATGTCTCTCTGCGTTGACCTTGCAAAAGACTGTTAGCAAAGAAAGACTCCAGCACCCCATAACCTCCAACAGAGGGAGGGAGGATGGATGGATGGAATAGATGGATCGAATTTTGACTCACTGTTGGAGGAATCTCTGTGTTAACAGGTAATGGATTCTGGTGAACAGGGCCTCTTTGGTGACCTACAGACCACAGTCTCCACTATTGCCATGACAACCACTTCTGCCTCCCTGGTGCCCCCTAATGAGAGTCGGCATGGACACCATCAGGTCAGCACATGTCTTTTAGTTCGAACTTTTATTAATTAGTAGATGGTTTTTCTCAAATCAGTGACCTTGGCACTGCACTATGACAACATTAATCTTAAAAACACAGACTTAGTTGGTCGTTGTTACACCTGTAAATAAATTTTTTCCTGAACTTTGGGCTACCTTGTGAGAGCAGATGATCAGGAACAATGCATTGTTACCTGTTTGATAGGACAGGAAAGAAGGAATGTTGAGCTCCAGCATCTGGGGGAGGCCATGCAATGACTGATAGTGCTTCATTGTGCATTTTTCTATCCAGGTACACTTTTACTGGACTTTTACAGTGTGTTTGGGATCAGTGTCATACTGAAAAAGCCAGTGCCAGTCAAATGCTTTCAAGATGGTTTTTACATGGTGGATCAAAATCTGATTGTACTTTTCTGCATTTGTAATTCCATCAATTTTAAAAAAGCTCTCCAACATCACTGGCTGATATGCAGCCTCAAACCATGACGGAGCCTCCACCAGGTTTTACCGGTGACTGTAGCCACTCACTTTTGTACATACTGATAACAATTTGAACCATTTCACATTTGAATTCAAGTCCTCTTGCCAATGATTTGTAGTCCAATTTTGGGTAATTTGCCATACCTCAATTTTTCTCCCTGTCTCCATCCCTTACCAATGACTTTCTTAGAGCCATCCTTCCACTAAGACCATTTCTGATGAGGCTTTGGCTTTGGTCACCAGGACATTAAAACTGCATGTATATAACCACCGGTCAACTCTAATAAAAACGGAATAAAAAGTTTTCTGACTTTGTCCCATGATAAAGTTTTACAAGTTTTTCTACCACCAGTTCAGTTCAGAATTCTTTGACTGCCATGGATCTCTCTTTAATGTTTGTGACTATGTTCTGACTGTTTCTGTACTTCTTATGTTTCCACTGCTGTGTTTTCAAATGTACAGTTTGGACTAGAAAGTTTGTTTCAGTTGTTTAAAACTTGCCTTTGAATTCATATCAGACGGAATTCGGGGATTTCACGTTTTCCTGTGTTTAGCTCTATTTTGAAAAATAAGTGAAACTCGAGCTTGAATTATTTTAACACATTACACTTAAGTTAATTTACATTTATTTCATTAATTTACAATTATCTTGTTTTCATAGTTCACCCAGAACCTAACAGAAGTCTACAAACAGCATTTTCATGATGAATGCTTCATATTTAGTTGCCTCTTGCAATAATGCTGAAGCTAATGAAAGTTACTAGAAAGTCATGTCTTTTACACACAGGTCGCCTTGGCAACAGAGATCCCTGACTACAACCAGATGACCTTGCCATTAGGAGGGGGTCACAGTGCTACAGCAGCTCAAATGCGGCATTTCTGCCGCAGCTATGAGTTTCAACTTCCCCCACAGCCCTCACCCCCACTTCCACCTCCCTCCACGGTGCAGTTCTCCACTCTGGGCCCCGGGGGGCGCCATGTCTATTGCAATATCCCTATGACACTGCTGAATGGACAGGTGGGAGAAAAGACTAAGCCACTTATACGTATGATGTTCTTAGTTAGTCCCCAGCACCCAACATCAGCACAGTGTATCCTTTTCTAAAGTTTGCTTGCTGTTATCTGTTTGCATGTACTCAGAGCTTAAACACAATAAAAATAAATCCTCTCTTCTCCCCAGGGGTTCAGAGCAGTTCACTGGGGAACAAGAGGTCTGTTTGAATAAAAGAGAATATAGAAAGAAAACAATATCTTCATATCATCTAGCCTGAAAACATGCTTATTCTAACAGACTGGGAAACGAAATGCAGTACAGTTCTTATGTTTAAGTCAAGGCACAGTATTGGCATGCAATATTTTGTCATACCATAAAATGAAGCACCATTATATGGCAAGGTTAGTGCTAATCATGGTGGTGCTGTGTGTTTCCCAGGTGCAACAGAGCAATACCCTTGGGAAGAAGCCAGAACTCCACCTGAACAGCACCTTTGTACCCCTCACCAGCAGAGAACTAAGCTCTGACATCTGGTAGTTGGACTTCTCAGCTGATACTGGAATACAGACTGCTTTTCACTGGATTCGTGTAGACTGGCGGGTCGTCTGGTTTTCATCAGGTTTTTGGACTGTGTGCAGACTTGGCGTTGGACTGCCCATCGACTGCTTTTGGGCTACTCCTTCCCAGCTGTAAATAAAAGACTACCGAAAGACCGCAGAAGGCTTGGTGTCACACTTATTAGGAGAGTGGTTGTAAACTGTTTACAGAAAGACTGGAATTATACAAAGGATTGCACTCTGATTTTGGACCTATTACCTGGTAACAGGCTGATGCCAGCTGGAATGTACACTGCTGGCATGACCATGTGTCCTTGACATACTGGCAAAAAGTTCCTGACTGGTCATGCTGAGTTTGTGGAAAGGAATTAGGAAACTTAAGAACTAGAGAAGTTAACGAAGGCATCCTGAGTACTTCAATCGTGGGTATCCACCGTCTGTAGTACTCTATTTGTTCAACAGGCAGGCAGGTTGGATCTTGGAGCACTAAAACAGCACCTTTTAAGTCTGCTCACAAACCAGCTGCTGTGAAAACCAGTTGACTTGTCAGCTCAGACAAACAAGACGTAGCGTAATCTAAGAATGCCAATTGATCTACTTATGCGAGTTCTCATCTACCTGTTGACTAGGTGGCTTGTCGGGCAGACAAAGCAGACATCAAGCAATGATTTTGGAATACCAGACCACCTTAAATCAACTAGTCAACCTCTTGAAATATTGCTCTACAGCACGCTAGCTACCTGGTTTGGCTCTCAGGAGCTGAACTAGACTTGAGAAATGTTTTTCAGCAAGAAAAACAAGAGGGGGTGACACATAAAGCGAAGGCTGAAGCTGCTTAATGACTGAGAAAGCACAGTTAGGCAGAAACTAGCTAGTTGCATAGACTAGTTGGCTGAAAGAATAGCTAGTACTTGAGGTAAGTGTGTTTAAGGGCACAGCAAGACTGGAAACCAGCCAGTCCATCACCAACAGATGAACTGTCAGATTTAACACCAAGCTAAAAGCATAAAGGACTTGGCTTTTTTCTATTTGCATGACCACCCATTTAGATTAAAAAAAAGAATAATAATCAAACAAACATAGATAAAAGAGTAAATGACACAATCATTTGTCGAAGCCTCTTTTAATATGGAGGGTATAAACATCCTATGTTGATACAGTATATTTGTTTTCTGTCTGGCCATGATTCAATGATAAAAACTGATAAAGGAAAAAAAGGAGGTGTCCCTCCAAAAACATTTGGGTTATTTATTTTGTCACGCTTTATTTAAGGGTTTTATCCTTTTAGAAGGTTGTTGAGAATTTTTACCAGGCTTTGTTTTTACTGTCTGTTTGTTACAATAATCTTTGTACAGCTTCCATAACCTCTGTATAGACCTATACATGACAGTGATTTGTTCCCTACAGTTTTTGTTAACACTCACATTAAGTGTTCTCTGATGGCTCCACAGCCACTTTTTTTGTTGCCTTTGTTGTGTTTCTCTTTTCATCGATGGATGGATGTCTTACGGCAGTACGACCCTGCTAACGGACTGATATTTTGAACCTTACCACTACCAGTCAGCCAAAAGGGGGCTTCACTGTATAAAAAGCTGTACTCCGAGCTGAATCAGACCACATTCTTCTTTGTGAGCTTTAAAAAAGAAAAACAAGATTATTAAGATAATATTTAAGCAAAGTGGGTAATGTTTTGAATTTACACAGAGCTACTGTCATTGTCTTATTAGAACCAATGAATTCTGGATATTTGAGATTGTTTGATACAATAATTAATTATTTCAGTTGTTATATTCAATGGCAATATACAGTATAGTGGTTGTCCTTTAATTTCTGACTATTTCTTTGACTATTCTTTGGATATATTGGTTGAATAATTTAACTGCGAGCAAATAAAACTTATATGAGTTGTTTTATAGATTTTGGATTCACTGTTGTCTGACATGGTCAACTTTTTTCCTCTTTTTTTTTTTTCCCGGACAACTATTTTTTCTCATTTTGTTTTTATTGCTTAACCAGATGTGATTTCGCAAGCGGTCTGGCATTTCCTCCAACTGTCAGCTTACTTTGCTTCACCCTTGTCACGAATCCTTTTCTTCGAATTGCACTTCTCATGGCTTTATCCTCTTCTCCAATGGTCACTTAAATTTCCTTGTAAGCTGTTAGCTTACTCAGTGACACATAGTTCTTTGCCCAGTGTCGAAAGGCATGAACTAAAACATTTGCCTCATCCAAATTTTCAAGATCCGCTGCATGGAGTTGAGCACAAGGAGTGAAGCTGTCCAACATGCCTGAGACGCACTGAGATGGCGTTTTCGCGGAAGGAAAACGCAGCGTTTTCAAAACGCTCTCGAAAACACAAACATTTGGGTGCCGTCATGTGACCAATTATACTAAGATAGTGGAGGGCAGCAGTTGTTTTGTTTGCTCTCAATTTTGACAGCCCTATTAAAGATTAATATCAGTCTGTACATGCTCCAGATAGCATTTCTTCAAATTCCTTAATTCTCACTTGCTTTTGCAACTTTGTACTTTTGTGTTACTCGCAGCAACAACTCCACCTCATTGTTAGTCCATTTAAAAAACTCGGTGCTTTGCCTCGACCTTTTGCCGCAACGGTTCAAAGAGCCAGAAAGTAAATAAACGACAGACAGAAATGAGGCAGGTCGAATCTTCTTGCGTTTCACACATGCGCAGTACTGGGACATAGGTGTTTTCATCCATTTCAATGTGGACACACAACTCTGTGAAAACGACTGAAAACACTAGTGTGGATATGGAGTGTTTTCAGACGGAAACGCAGTTTTCAAATCTATCCGGGCTAGTGTGGACGTAGCCTCAGGCTGCAATTGCGGCACTTCACCGGGATCAACACTATCAACAGTAGCTCCCCACCTTTTCAAGGGACCAAGTGAGTACTGCAAAGGACCCACGGCTACACCACATATTTGGCGCACCAAAACGTACAGTGAGGGTGTGCTGGGAACATCTAGCAGAGGCCCCGGTCCGCAAGATCTTCAACTCACACCTCCAGCAGAGCTTCAACAGCATTCCCAGGGAGACTGGGGACATTGAGTCCTGTTCAGCTCCTCCATTGCAGAAGCCGCAGCACTGAGCTGCAGCCACAAGGTAGTTGGTGCCTGTCGTGGTGGTAACCAAGCCACCAAGCTGAAGAAGGAGTCCTACTGGGCTTGGTTAGCCTGTGGGACTCCGGCAGCTGATAGGTAGAAAGATAGGCCAAGCGGGCGGTGGCGGAAGCAAAAACTCGGGTGTGGGAGGAGTTCGGAGAGGCCATGGAAAAAGACTTTCGGACTACCTCGAAGAGATTCTGGCAAACGGTCAGGCAACTAAGGAGGGGAAAGCGGTGTTCAACCTGCACTGTGTGTAGTGTGGGTGGAGTGCTGTTGACTGAGAAAATTGTCAGGCGGTGGAAGGAATACTTCGAGGACCTCCTTAATCCCACTGACACATCTTCCGAGGAGGAAGCAGAGTCTGGGTATGAGGGGAATGACCCGCCAATTTCCGGAGGCAAATCACTGAGGCAGTTAAACAATTCCTTGGTGGCAGAGCCCCTGATGTTGATGAGGTCCGCCCTGAGTTCCTGAAGGCTCTGGAGGTTGTAAGGCTGTCCTGGTTGACACGCCTCTACAATGTTGCGTGGAGATCAGGGGCGGTACCCCTGGACTGGTAGACCGAGGTGGTGGTCCCCATCTTTAAAAAAGGGGACCGGAGGGTGTGTTCCAACTACAGCGGAATCACACTCCTCAGCCTCCCTGGGAAAGTCTATGCCAGGGTGCTGGAGAGGAGAGTCCGTCCGTTAGTCGAACCTCGGATACAGGACAGGGCTCTAGAGTGCGACCAATTTGGTCGCAAATGCGACCAAATTTTTCAGTGGTGTGACTAAAAGAAAATATTTGGTTGCACCTGTGCGACCAACTGTTCAGGTAGCAAAAAAAATAAAATAAAATCTGCAACCTTCCCTGTGGTCAACAACAGACACACATTTTGCCCCTATCGTGGACTAAACCAATCAGAGATAGTCAGGGGCGGGACCTCTCTGATTGGCCGTGATCCAGTTGAAAGTGCAGGTGGAAGTGGGAGGTGAGTAGCTTGAATAAAGCGATATCAATTCATTAAATCCTGAATCGACTTTTAAATATAACTGTGTTTTGCCAGAAACGCCAGATTCTCAGATTAAAGCTCACAAAACCATTTCAACAACAACCAAACAGCAAATGAGAGCAGGTACACGGATTCCACACAAAGACGTAAACACAGAACGGACCGACGCATCAGAATCAGCTTTGTCTTTCTCGGCTTTCTCACCCGACGACCCGTAGACGGACACGCTGTCGGAGCTTAGCGATTCTGATGCGTGCGGTCCGCGCTGTGTTTACATCTTTTTGCGCTGATTCTGAGCTGCAGGTTTTGTCTCTCTCCAACCAAAATTCACCGAGCCAGCAGCAAAAGAAGCAGCAAACTGCGCTTCACATTTGATCAATGTCGTCATGAATTTTGCTGTTTTGCTTCCACGACTATTAAAATCACACTTCATGCACAGCTAGCTCTCTCTCTATCTCTCTCTGTACTTCAAGAACAGTTTCCTGTTTCCAATCTCTGTTTTCTGTATTATTAATTCGCTTATTACCCACCAGTCTACCGTTGTTTACAGCGCTGTGGCTGCTGTCTTTTTCTTTTCTTTTTTTCACTTAAATGACCTCGGACAAGAAAGCCTATTTGTTCTGTTATTCAATACTGAAGAAATTTAAACTTTATATGCAGAACATTGTAGAATATTTTTAAGGTTATCTGCTATAAAAAGCCAGACCAGGGAAAGTCTCCTTCATGTTTTTCTGTGTTTTATTCTCAGTTACTTTCACACAAAGGCATCTGCTGTGATGTTCACAATTCTGAAGAAGTCAGTACTGATAAATGATCAGAATTATAATATTTCTGACTGTCTGAGGCTAAGTTGAATCGAATCGGGACTTTGAAAACCGGAATCGAATGGATTATAGAAATCAGTGATGATACCCAGCCCTAGTGAGCAGCCTAGGCACCACAGAAGTGGATGTAGCTGTAATAGGAAAAGAACCATTGCTAACTTTTCTGTTAAGTTAAGGCCTGATCCTTCTGAAATTCATAGCCAGTGCTCGGACATGGTGTCATCAGTCTTTGAATGCTGAAAAAGCACAGTGTATCCAGAAAAACACATTATATTATATAAATTATTATAAAATTTGTGTACGCCTAACTTTTGTGCCCATGGTACGCCCATGGCAAAAAGTTAGTCTAGAGCCCTGGATACAGGAGGAACAATGCGGTTTTCATCCTGATCGTGGAACACTTGACCAGCTCTTTATCCCCCCAAGGATACTTGAGAGTGCATGGGAGTTTGCCCAACCAGTCTACATGTGCTTTGTGGACTTGGAGAAGGCATTCGTCCGTGTCCTTCAGGGGGATCCTGTGGGGGGTGCTCTGGGAGTATGGGGTGTCTGGCCCATTGCTACGGTCCACATAGCTGGCAATAAGTCAGACTCGTTCCTGGTGGGTGATGGGCTCCGCCAGGGCTGCCCTTTGTCACTGATTCTGTTCATAATTTTTATGGTTCTCAGCCGGAAAAGGGTGGAGTGCCCACTCCGGGTCAGGGACAAGACCCTGCCCCAAGTGGAGGAGTTTAAGTATCTTGAGGTCTTGTTCATGAGAAATTGGAGAAGGGAGTGGGAGATCGACAGACGGATTGGTGCAGCGGCTGCAGTGATGCAGAAGCTCCCAATTTACCGGTCAATCCCCTATCCTCACCTATGGCCACGAGCTGTGGGTAGTGACCGAAGGAACAAGATTGCGAATACAAGTGGCAGAAATGGGCTTCCTCCGAAGGGTGACTGGCCTCTCCCTTAGTGATAGGGTGAGAAGTTCAGCCATCAGGGAGGGGCTCAGAGTAGAGCCGCTGCTCCTCCACAGCAAAAGGAGCCAGCTGAGGTGGTTCGGGCATCTGACAAGGATGCCCCCCGGGCGCCTCCTGGGTGAGGTTTTCCGGACATGCCCCACCGGGAGGAGGCCCCGGGGCAGACCCAGGACACGCTGGAGAGATTATATGTCTCGGCTGGCCTGGGAACGCCTTGGTGTTCACCCGGATAAGCTGGAGGGGGTGGCTGGGGAGAGGGAGGTCTGGGCTTCTCTACTTGGGATGCTGCCCCCGCGACTCGGCCCCGGATAAGGAAGAAAATGGATAGATAAACAACATTATAGCACTTATTAAATAGTTACATCAGTTACATGTGACATTTATACATTGTTTTTTTATACAAACAGCATTAACAGCATGTTACAGGTTTTACTTGAGCTTGAATGTGAACACTTATTGCAAAACCATATACAGCAAGACTGAGTCATCAGCTGAGCCCGTGTGTTAGAAAATAAAAACACTTCAAATATACTGAATACATTCCCAGTTTCTAAGCAGCTTGGGAAATCTGTAAAGACAGTTTCATAAAAACTGATGACTTCTACACTACAGTCAATTACCACAGCAGAAATAGATCCCACGAGACAAAACAAATGATAGTTTTCTCAGGCAGTCGTCCGTCTCGACTGCAGCTGACAAGTTTCCACTTCCTGTGTTATCAAATCGAGCTGAGTTTAAAAATGCAAGAACTTTTGAATCTTTGCAATCTTCACACACTCAAAAGGTAGATTAAACACTTCCGCTAAAGACTGTGGTTACAGGGT